ACCGCCATCGGGATGGCTCTTCGTTCGAAGCCGCCCCCCCTCTTCGATGAAACTAAGGCGCGAGGATTCCTTCAGCACCCAAACGCCGCTTTCCAACCGATGACCAACAAGCTCACCCGGAAGCACTTTCTCAAGCGCCGTCGAAACAAGATGGCGGTGCCCAAGCAAAGTAGGCGGCCCGGTACAAAATGATCCACGGACCAATACTGGTCCGGGGCCCGGTGGTTGGGGACCCCTGTACTATGATACATAAAATGCTGGATTAAAGGGGCTTTGTCTTTCCTTCAGATAGTTACTTCAGATAGTTTTAAATTAAAATTCCCAGGTAAAAAGGTCAGTAAGTGTAATGTATTCATAAGTTATGCTATAAATTTTCAAAATTAACTTTTAACACAGGGGTCTCCAACCCCCATGGACTGGCACTAGTCTGTGGCATGCCAGCAGCCAGGCCATGCAAACAAGTGAAGCCCCATCCACAGGATACAGGCAGCACATAAAATCACACCCCCTCGTTTCAGCAGAAAATCCTTTCTCCACGAAACTGGTCCCTGGTGCCCAAAAGGTTGGGGTCCCTGGTGCTTTAACTGATTCAGTAGGTATAACTTTGAATTGCAGTTTATTTGTATATCCATATGACAGTTTATAAATACAGTACATATACGTTTAAGTTAGTTAAGTCCTAAACAATTGATTACTGAAGCTGTTAAGCATCCTAACTCAGTAATTTCTGAATGTGTGTGTAGATGGGATAGAGAGCAAAAGATATACTAAAGTTCCTATTATAATGTTGTGAAAATGATTTAAGAATCATGGCTTGATACAGCTCTGATAACATGTCCTAGGACCAATGGGTTTTAGGTTGTGATTTCTTGTTATTTTTTCTACTATTTTTCAGCACTTTACCATCATACATTGATCAACTTGGCAATTCTCTGTAACCTTGGAGCCAGGGATGGGATCCGAACGGTGTAACTACCGGTTCTGTCACTTCATGTCGTACGCGTGTTCAATTTACACCATGCTGAGCTGCCTGGACAGCTGAGCAGCGCAGCGGTTGAAAAAGCCCCTTTTTCCTGCTTTTTCAACTGCAGCTGTGCCGCGCAAAGCAGCTGTGGTTGAAAAGCAGGAAACAAAGGACAGGTAAGAGCCTGGGCGGGCGGGTGGACCAAAATCGCAGTAGACACAGAACCGGTTCTGTGTCTGCTGCTCTTCAGAACTATCGGTTCTGTAGAGCCGGACAGAACCAGTAGAATCCCACCCCTGCTTATAGCCAGCAAAAGTATTTTGAAAAGGGGACACTTACTGAAAGTAGTGACTCATCATATTTCAAGCCAATTTATTTTAAAATTAGGATTTGGCCACTTTTTTTTTTCTTTCAAATTAAATCTCTAAAACTTCAGCTCTAAGATTCTGAACATCACTGGACATCAGCAAAGAATTAGATTTTTCTGTTGCTATCTAACAAATAGTTTGTAGCCCAAATTTGATAGTTCCATCCTTGTAACTATTTGAAAATTCTATTGACAATCAACAAACTTCCTCAGTTTTCATCAATTCATAGATATTTTAGTTCTTGTTCTAGTACTCCATAACCAGTATGGGATTTAGGAAGGGAATCGGCATCAATATTGTGGGAAGAAATATCCATCTGGTTCAATTCAAAGCTGGGAGAAAGACATTGGAAACATGGAGGCTGATTGGAAAGGTGGTTTATTGATGAACCAGAACTACCGTGTTTCTCCAACAATACGGCCTCCCCCAATAGGAAGACCCAGCATATTTTCTAGGCATAAAATGAAATTAAGCCCCTCCCCCCAAATTTAGGCCTATTTTAAAACATGCAAAATGGGGGAAGGGCGGGGAGACTTGCCGTTAGGAGCGCCCCATGGGTAGCCATGCCTTGCCACCAGCTGCTCCTAATGGGCGATCATGGCGGAGCACGGAGAGCTCCCTACTCCTACCAAGCACGTTTGCTGCAGACCCGAGACCTTCAGTGCTTGCCGCTGTTGATTTCCCTTCTGCCCATACCACTGCCACGTTTGGAGCTGCCACTTCTACATTTGGAGCTGCTACTGCGTTTGGAGCACTGCCACTGCATTTGGAGCTGCCACTTCCATGTTTGGAGCGCCGCCGCTGTTTGGAGCTGGTGCTTCCATGTTTGGAGCACAATTGAAATGTTTTCCTCCCTTCTTCATTATTACATTAATTATTAATAAACATACCATTGGATAGTCATACAGCTTTATCTTATAAATTGTTTACTATTAATAAGCAAAATAATTAGTCAAATTCATTCTAGTAACTGGTATAAATTTCCTTATATATCTTTCACATTTCTTTTCAATATTTTATCAATCTTTAGAAAAAATTACAATGTTTCCCTCCCTTCTGTATTATTGCATTAATTATAAATAAACATACCATTATATAACAATAGTTTTATTTCATATTTACTTATTTCATTTCTAACTCATTACAGTATTCTCCTGTCACAACACTATCTTTTGTACCTTTGCAGAATCCTCACTTTTAACTTAATTTAGCCATTGTCTCTGTGTTTTCTAACTAAGCAAATACCTTTAATCCTAGTACGTTTCCCCTTTTTCTTTATTTCCTGCTTTTGTCCCTCATAAGTTCTTTTCCTTTCTATTTCCCCCCCTTTTTCTCATCCCTTTTTTTATACCCTTCTCTCTCTAATTTTCCCTCCTGTAGTTTTCTTTTCTGCTTCTCCTTGCTGTTATACTTCTTTTTCAGACTATTTTTCTTTTTGGCTGTTCCCTTTGATCTCAAATTTTTAACTCCTTTCCCCCTTTTACCACATTTTGCATTATTTGATCATTAAAAATGGCTTCTTCTTTGTCTCGTCCTTCTAGCTCTTGAAGCGTTTCCTTTTGCTTTTAATAGTTCAGGATCTGCATTTCAAAAAAATTCAAATACGAAGCCAAAGGATCTTCCTCTCCTTTCTGCATCTTCTTTCTGTTTTTTAAGACTCATCTTCAATTCCTCCAGGAGTGATGCCATTTTAAACACTTTTGAACAACCACCCGATTGACTAAGTAAAAACAGAAAAAGAAAACAAAAACAATGCCAAAAACTTTTTTTTAAATCACCAAATGATCCCAGACTGTTCCTTCTTGTTTCTTTCCTTTACTTTTCCTTTCCATGGGTTACTCTATCTTTTAATAAGATTTCAGTTACAATGTATCCTCGGGAGTCTTTTCAAATTTTCACTGTTAATCCTCTTTATTTTTCCAGGTGGCACTCCATTTTTTCATTATTCCAAGTTCCACCCTTTTGCCTCCACTCTTCTCCTTTTTAGGGCTGTAAAATGACCAAAAAAAAAAAAAAATCTTTATTCTCCTTTTGACACTTAGATTTCAGCTTAAAGTTGCCTATTAGTGTCAAAATAGACTAACATAAATTTCTTTCTGTACCATTTGTAATTGTCAATATAAAGGTTTAAAAAAGGGTTTTTAACCTCCTTTTCTCTCTCCTTTGCCACTTACAAATCTTCTTTCAGAAGTATCCCTCTAAGTACTTTTAGATTCAGGGTACCTTGCTTGGATGTTCTCTGTTGTTTAGCCCGGTCTGTCCTGCTTTCCTCTTTGTCTTCCTCCTGCACAATCTTATCCAATCGGGTTCTTCTTTGAGGTGGCCATTCTGACCATCGCTGCAACCGCCTTCAGGAAAGGGAGTTTAGACCAGCCAAGGAGGAGAGATGCGGCTCCCCTCCACTCGGCTAGCAATCTCCCCCCTCTTCACCACCTCTACGGGGTGGCTTCAGCCGCGAATTGAAAGGATCGAGGCGCTCCAGCGGCGAGCACAGATCAAAACTGCGCACGATCACGGATTTCGGTCTGTCGCTGAAGAAACCCAAACCGGAAGTCCTCATCCTCTAACGTTCTATTGACCGTTCTCAGATTCCTATGGGGTTATATGGGGGGTCATAGCTGACTATAGGCAAAAGAGGAAATGCAAATCCTAGGTCCTTGTCTAAACTAATCTAGTCAGCCTCTGGCTTGTTTATCTGAGCTCCCAAGTGAAGTTTTGACTGCTCTGGGATGATGCAACAAGGGGGCTTGTGTTCTGAAAGGGTGTTAGGCAATACCTATTGTGGCTTAATAGCTTTGTCCTGTGTTGGATCTTGAGTGAGGGCCAATCCTACCTTCTGTCTTTGTTCATATTTTGCTGCTGGGAGTTTCAAAATAGCCTGTCTTGAATGGATTTCTGCCTGCAGTGTTTGCTTTGCCTATGAATAGAGCTATCTAGATACTTGGTCTTCCTCTTTCAATAAACTCTTTAAACATCTGCTGTGGGCTATTAAGGAAAGTGAGGGGGGGCTGCTTTCTGCCTCTAAAAATATGTTTCTCCATTTCTCCCTTTGGAGAAATAATAATATTCTGCCTTTTTTTTCAATATTTCCCAAAATATTTTATCCTTCCAGGATAAATGGGCACTGACTTTCAACAATACGAAGAGGGTTATTAAATGTGTCCTTTTTTTTTTTTTTTAAAGTATTCCCCTCGAAAAACTGGAACGAGCCACTCCCGGTTGCGCTGTGGAAAAAGGATTCGTAACTGCCAAAAAGATTAGAAGTGCAAAACATAAGTTACCTTTGGTGTAATGTTCTTTTCTATTCCTTTCGGAGGAATTGCCGAACTTTTCTAAATGAAGAAAAACAAAGGGAAGAGAAGCGCTCGCAATACCTTTAAAGGCTGGCTTTTCAAAGCCTTTGCGGGCCACCTCGAGCAAAGCTTAAGAGTTGCGCGTTCGGGAAAAATTGCAAGGTTGGAGACGCCGAGCTCTGCAATCGCAGCCCACGGAGGAAGGTGTGTGGAGGGGGGGGCGCTGTGTATGTGCGGGTCCGCGTGAGCCTGAACAAAACACACAAGACTTTCAAGCTTTTTTTCCCCCTAGTCATATGACTGATCGGCTCCATGAACGCCAGCCTGGGAAAAAGAGGGAGGCGCCTGCCCTCCTCTGAGAGAGAGAGAGAGAGAGAATGAATTAAAGTAAGCTCGGCTTAAGCTCTCCAGCCTGGACGTCCCGCTTTGGAGCTGGCATGGGGGCTGCTACTAGGGACGCTGCGGAGATCGGGAATCTTGATCGCGGCTGGCTGAGCGATCTGTCTGATCCGGTGTGCCCTGCTTCCCTTCCCCGACTCCGCTCAGCTCGGGAGGAAGCGCAGTAGCAGCATGGCTCCGACGCTGCTCCAGAAGCTCTTTCACAAAAGGGGCGGTGGCCGGCTTAGTAGTGGCGACTCGACCTCCCCTTCCCCTTTTAGACTGTCCAAGGAATGCTCAACCTTCAGGTGAGGAAATGCAGGCGTTTATTCTCTTGAGGCTTCCTTTTGGGTGCGTTGGGCATTTGGATAAAGAACATCCAACTGCCCCAAACATGAGACCTGGGAGCGCGTAGGGTGTACTTTTTCCTCATCTATATAGCCAGTTCTCTTTATCCTCTGTAGACTCTCCATGCTCTTCAGAGTCTTTGCTTTTATGATTAAAAGTGCAATATGTGTTTGGATAAAGTAGCCCAAATCCTAACCCAAAAAAAGAGAACGATCTTGCATGCTGTAATTTTCTTGCCGGTCGTTTCGGTTTTAAGGGAGTAGAGTATTACAGCAAGACAAATCTTGGTCGTAGTTTGGGTTTTTTTTCTTTGTAATGGCTCCTATAAATGGTTCAAAACATGTTGCACGTGTTCAGTAACTGTAATAGCTGGTCCTCGTGGATAATTTGGGGAGTTAGGATTCTCTCTTTAAAATGACCACTCTTAGGACATCTCCTGTCTTTTAAAGTACTTAAACTAAGTCCTATAAGTACATCAGAGAAGCCTCAATGAATTCAATAAGATTGCTTAATAGATATACCATTATGCCTTTTATTGGATTTGGTCTATGTTGATCTTCCAAAAATGTATCTAGTGTATTTTTTTTTTTCCAATCTGGAGCATTCCCCTCAAAATATGTATAATCACTTCATCAATTCCCACTGAACCTCAACAATAGTTAACACTGGCTGGGGATGATGGAAGCTCAGTGTATCTGGAAAGCAACAGGATGGGGAGGGCTGGCCTGATTCAAAGCAGTGTGATGTGATGTGATGTACAAACAGCAGACTTTATCCTGGTTTCCAGCTCCTCATCCTTGAAGTGTAAAAGCAAAAGAGAGGGACAGCAGAGAAAGAACATGTGACACTCTCTCTAGACCCTTTGAAAAAGTATGGGATAAGATTATAATTTTCTTGTAGTATTGCTACGTGATTACAGTGCTTTACAACCATTCCTTTATACCTTTATAAATATGTGTCCCACTGTGGTTACTAGACTGATCTCCTATGCAATTATGCTTAAAGTTTAGCTTCAGTGAAAAGTGAGAGATGCAGGCTTATATAAAGTTCTTATTTTTGAAAAAAAAATGATAAAATGTCTTCCTGATTCATTTCTTCTAAATATGTGCATGTTTTCTGTTGTGATATTATTTTCAAAAAAATTAAATGGTCTGGTTCTGTCATCTGTTTTTATCTTCTACTATATGTTCCTTGAACGTAAAAGTAAGATGCTTTTGAATGCATTGAGTCTGAATTCTGTTGACAGTTGGTATATTTGAACAATCTAAAACCATTCAGGAATATCTGAATTAGTCACGCTGGCAATTACCATACCATATGTATTTTATACATAATTATATTACAGCCATAATAGCATAGAATCCTATTTTTATTCTCTAACAGACATGGATATCAAAATGCAGTTGTCCTGTAAAAGCCTTTATATGTCTTATGTCCAATAAATGAAAATGGGGAAGAGTGTGGGATAACAATGGCCTGTAAGAGTGTTGGGTAACACTAGATAATAGTAATGAAATAGGTATTTTTATATCACTCTTGCAGAATGCTACACTTAGTGTACCTAACATGCTAAAGAGGCTTATACAGGGGTGGGATTTAAATTCCTTAACAACCGGTTCTGTGGGCGTTGCCTAATTTGTGGGTGTGGCTTGGTGGGCATGTGACTGGTAGGTGTGGCTAGGTGGTCACATGATGGCTAGGTGGTCATGTGACTGGGGTGGCTGTGGCTTGCTGCCTAAAAATGCATGAAATTACAATAAGGTCATGAAGTCTAAATTACACAAAGCAGAGTGGAATACTTTGTATGCCTGTAATGGTAAAGATACGTTCCTTTTGTCAATCTCCTCATTTGATGTTAAGGGTCATTCTATTTTACTTGAAGATACGTAAAATGTTCATGAAAATCTGAATAAAATCTGAAATGGCAAATTGAAGAATTAAACATTTTATTTGCTAAGTATATTGCCTTGCCAGGAACTTGAAATGCAGAATGCATTGGGATCAACTCATTCTGTTTCCAATATTTTTTAGGATTACTAGTAAACAATTACGGTGAAAAAAACCTAGTTATGTGATTTACAATACCAGGCATAAAATAAAAGTCAGTGTCTGTCAATGTTTCATTTAGAGTACAGATAATCCATACTTTCCAAGTTTTTTATCTGGCAATCTATACCACAACTAGCTGGACTGGTTTGATTCCCACGTTATAAGGAACTAAAGGAATGTACATTGCTACGCCCTTCCCTTCCTTCTACTATAAACAAAAAATATATATTAGCTACATGACAGTATAGGCATACCAAAACAAAAAGGTGTGTATTAGGTACATGACAACATTGGAAGCCTAAACAAAATGTTAAATCAACATGTTTCAAGTTACCATATAGCTCTCTCAGAGAAGATATAGAATAAGAATAAGGCTAACTGCTTGCATAGAACTGAAGAAGTCAGAAAACGTATTTAAAAAATGTATATAGCATTTTTGAAATTAGCTTAAATCCATTTTGTCCCTTTAAAAACTTTCCTTTCATTTATTGGGTTGAGGACCTGATTATACTTTTCCCTATGAGGAGACTACCTACTGATGTAGACTTTGTATGGATAATGAAATATTGGACTCGTTATACAAAATACAGTAAGATTTTAAAAAAAAATGATAGTTGGGCATGTGTATTAGAGATATGTATTTATTTGAATAATAATTGCATTATATAAAGAATTGTAACTAGGTACCTCTAAAATGATATGCCTTTTTCCTTTGTATTTTTTTCTCTTCTAAAGCATTTTCTATATATCTTTTTTTTCTTTGACAAAGTATTGTCATCTTTGTGTTTTTCCAGTTTTTTCGTGTTTTTAAAATGCAATGCAAAATAAACTTTTAAAAGGATATTGTAAAGCTATAATAGATGCAGAAAGGGACAAACAAAAGTGGCTCTTAAGAGTAATTCTTTACAAAAAAAAATCATATAGCAAAGCAAGCTATTGACAGGACGAAGAATTTTCTAGACAGAAAGTTGAATAATAACAATGACAAAAGTATTAAAGTCAACGAAGATGTAGATGTTTATACTGAGATGTTTTATCACTCTAATATATTAGAATTTTGAATCATTTATTAAAGTTAAATATGTGAACATTTAAGACACATACATTATGAAATACAGTAGTTTAAGTTTGAGACCAACAATCTCCATATGTGGTCATGCCACTACTATAATTTCAATAGTTTAAAACGGAATTAAGAAAATCTGTAGATGGGCATTTATTATCTTTAGAACAAAAGGCAGCATGAAGGGATGCAGGCTAAAAAGAAAAAGTGAAAAACATTTCCCATCTACTTATGAGCTTCCCAGATACATCCTTCCTATCTTTCATGCAATATAGAATACAGAGCCAGACAGATCAAAAGGGCAGAATCTGGCAAATGGATCACAAGATAAACAGTCACAAAGAATGGAATAGGATGTCATGTGAAAGTGTGCTGTCTGCGCATGTGATGTCATCACTCTGGCCTTGGCTACTTTTTTCCCCAAAGGAAATGAATAACCAAATTGTGAACCATTTTATTCAGCAAATACAAGGGAAAGAGCAAATAGAGATAGATGCCTGAAAAGTATAGGTTAACAAAAATGATAAGTTTGATTTGCCTGTACAACTGAGCTCCTTATGAACAAGCAAGCATGTCAATTATGCCTACTGACTGCTCCTGCCAATGAAAGGAACTGAATAAACTATGAATTCCTTGTCTATGGTTTATCATTCTCTCTGAATCAGGAGACCTGGCTTGTATTCTTTTTAACAAACGAAGATCAAACAATAGAATTTGTTCTTAGCTTCTTCCACCTAAGCTAAAACCCAAGTTTAATATTGACTTGCACATTATGTCAAACAAACTATGAATGCCAGCTTCCTGAATTGTTCATCTATTGCAAGAAGACTCAAGTAGAACAAGGCTGCTGTATTTGCTCATTCAAAATAGTAGTGTATCGTGACATGTAATCTGAGCTACAAATATGAAAACAGTAGTTAAGATAACTGTTTAAAGTTGCTACGCATTTTAGAAACTGCTTATGTTCTAAAAACAGAAATATCTCTATAATAGAAGTTGCAGTGAAGATTGAGGATTTCATTCTCTTATTTGTAAAATGCACAAAGTTAAACCACACAAAACTTCAGCATCCAAAAGCTATTGTGTGAAAAGTGACGGCCATTAATTCCTGTATAGATTCCATTTGTTGTTCAATGAATAATGAACATGGGTGGCATTATAACGTTAGATTATTTAACTGATTCATTTGGCTATATAATTTCTAATAGGCTAACTTCCAGTATCTAAAATGCATTTTTATTAGACTGCATCCAGTACATTTCTAATTAAGCAGGACTTGCTTTGGAACTTGACTGTAAAAAATATGGTTTCTGTGATAGAATTGTTAAAGTCTGGAATGCCCTATCTGATTCAGTTGTCTCAGCTACAAATTTTCACAGTTTCAGTCACAAATTGACTTCTGTGGACCTCACTTTATACTTAAGTGGTCAGTAGAGGGGACGTGCATAAGTGCACTAACATGCCTATCGTCCCTGTCATTGTATTTTTATTCTCTTATTCTTGTTCTCATTTTGTTTGACAAATTCCAATAAATAAATAAATACACTGGTGTTCAATAAAAGAATCAACAGAAATCTGTTTATTCATTTGATCGTCCCATGCTTTTCCCCTCAGCAGTCAAGTTTAAGTGGGGGGGGGGGGAACTTCCTTTGTTCCTGGTATTGATGTTTCTTTCATTCTATCAATATATAATTCTTTCTTTCTATCAATATATAAGAGCAATGTAACATTTTGTTATATATGCATAATTGTTTCTTAATTGTTTTCCTATTAGGAAAAAGCAAAGCAGAAACATCAAGATGAATAGTAAAATAATTTTTATTTATGCATTTATTTCTTTAGTATCTG